CTACGTATATGTTTAATTATGTTTCTTATTTTAAAGCATTTTTTATGATCGATGGTATGTTTCATTGATATGTTGTTTTACTACGTGAAAATAATTTTGTTATACTATATGTATATCAAATATATACGATATATTGCTATATATTGGATAAACATGAATTATTATCGTTACGTTTCTATCAGTATAATTTCACTAAATTCAATTTCTGATGCTATCAGTATCATGATGTAAAGAATTTTAACATAATTTAATTATTGTCGTACATAGATAAGAATTGTGACTATATATATATATATTTTAAATACGAAGTCAGAAAAATTATATCAATATTTTAATTTGATTTTCATATTATAATATTTCATATTTATATAAGAAACGGAAATTGAAACATACAGATCATTTCTAAAGAATTTGTTTTTGTACCTATGATGTGTATAAAGTATATGTATAAGTATGTGTATAAAGAGATTCAATATCTGTTTGTACTAATCATGTCGTCACTAACGGTAGACTTAACGATATACGCGAGTAACTTTTACACGTTTCTGTAAAACAGATCAGATTCTTCATTATTTATAATATTCAATATATTCAATATAATCATAAATAAATCATAAATCCGAGTCCTATTATGCAATTTTACTAAAAAAACACACATTACCATAATATAAATTTTAACGCAACTATCTGAGATAATACAATTAAAGGGTGAAATGAATATCTTTTTTTTTTTTCAAAAAATAGAATATTCTAAAATTTTCTCACTTAAGGATAGGTATTTTTAGAAATTAAAGTAGGTGTGATATTAAGAGCTATCTCTTAGATTTTGTTAAAATTTACTTATTTTGTATTCATTCATTATTTGAAATCTAAGTTTGTAGTTATCTTATAAATTATTATTACAATTTTATATAAGAGTTTTATTATTAGATGCTTTTTCAACATGCTTTGTCACAAAACTGTTTAGATCTAAAATGCAACTGAAAAAGCATCTAATAATAAAAAAATAAAAAATAGTTTATATTTTTAAAATAAGTTCGATATATTTTATAAAATTACACTACTTAAAATTATACTACTTATTTCCAATTTTACAAATATCTAATTTGTTCGTAAGTGCAAAATGCAATATGTATTTTATTTATTCTTTTAAAAACTTCAAAAATAAAAATAAACAATAACAAACAATAATATAATTTTTTTCAATTATGTTTCTCTCGAAATAAATTTTTATTATAAAATTCGTCAAATTTGTATCGTCATATTTGACGAGTTTTATTTATTTTTATTACAAATATATCTTAATATGTAAATTCTAATCCTGCTGCAGGAATTATAGTAATGAAATTTCGATAAAATCTGTGAGATAGCTCTTGTCATGGTATAGATCGCTAATTTGCGAAAATAGAACAGCATTCTACAAAAATAGATGCCATTAATACTACAAATTAGATACAACGCTAACGCTTTGAGATAAATCTACTTGGCCCCTCAATACTTTTTGTTGCAATCTCTTACAAAAGATTTTTGCCATAAGTTTATTTCGACGTGCTTCCTCTTGCCGTTCTTGTTGTCGCCGTTTAAATCGCACTTCATTCAATCGAAGATATCGTTTACGTGATCTCTCCTTCATCTCCTCATCGGTAATTTTTCGCTGCATGTAAACTGCAATAAAATATTTACGAAAAATTATGATACAAAGTTATAATTTGCAAATTTTTGTCAAAGTATAACAAAACGTAAATTATTAATTTGATATATTTACAAGTAATCTTACCTGTTGCTTTCGTTGGCTTTCGTATTGGTGCGGATTTAATAACATTGGACATACTAGCTATCGCCAATAACTGTATTCGCTTTTCTTTCCTCAATTCGCGTAATTGGCATATTTCCGACAAATACTGTCGGCGTGTTTCCGCATTGCCCACAAATTCAGGATTATTCCTAGATAAATAATCCTAAAATCGGTTTAATGTCATTAATAAAAACTGTTATGCTACTGTTATCTAACCTCTGTGAATTAAACAATTTTAATTCAGAATATTGCAAATAAAGATTGTTTCAAGTAATAAGATTTAATATCCGAATAATCTCATTTATTATTATTTAAATAAATCAAATGTTTACCTGTAATGTAGTTTGATGAAGATTTTTGCTGGCGTTATTTCTTTTTATAATATCACAAGGACAGCTATCAGATTTTCCTACATTCAAAGGTTGTTTGAGGACTTTTGGTATATCTGAAATTTCATTTTTCGAGGCAGTTGTTTTTGTAAACGATAATTCATACGCGACAGCTTTGGGATATGTCTGACGACAGTCACATTTTCTAGTATTTTGATACATGGCACCACACACGCGGCAACGTTTGTAATTTCTTTCAGTCTCATTAATACTGGTATCATCTGCATAGTTTGGTTTGGATATATAACTTTTGCACGCTTTCCCTTTGACAATGTCTTTCACTTGACTATTACTACAGGAGCAAGCCTCATTGCAATTGCATTTTAAGCTACTTTGTACTTTACGTTGTTGATTCACGTCGCTATCCTGCGAACTATCAGAGTAAATTTGTGTCTGCGGTTGACGCCCGTCTATCTTTAGATGACAGTCAAAACGGCACAAGCCATTATTGTCGATTTTACCGCCCGTATAACATTCGCACAGTGTTTCTGTGATTCCTGAATTATGGCACGCAGCACAATCGTTCGTGCAATTACAAATCTTCCCCGTGTCACTCTGTTCGCTGAAATTTAGCGCGCGCGTTCTGTTCTGACTTTCCGCGTTATAGTTTTGTCGGGATTTTCCAATGACAATCCTCCTATCCGCGTCGTTAGCAGAGACATTATCACACTCGCAAGCATTTCCACAAGTTTGTTCTACCCCTGAAATGTTATCATGAGTACAAGAAGGGTTTTTTTGACATACACTACAGACGGTATTATTAATGTCTATAACAGGCTTCTGTTTAAAACACAATGGACATGTCATAAATGGTCGTTTGTAATATTCAGTCCGTTTGACTTTAATAGTGCTCGAGCTGCCCTTGTTATCAGTTATAAATGGATAAACACTATGTGCACAATTACATTTTGATTTTGACGCATTGATTTGATTCTTAGCCTCTTTCTGTTTCGGCTGGACACTGTTATTTTGCGATATACGATGATGAACCGATTCTGTAGTGCTATTGTCGCTCGCATAATTCGTTTGTGTCTGCTGCGAAATGGCCGGTATGTCTTCTTGATAACCCTTTCGTGATCTGATTAAGGCCGAATTCTCGGACGAATTCTGTTTACATCGTGTACACGTTCGTTGTACAATCGGGGTAGAGTGCGTTTGACATGACTGATCTCTGCACTTGGTGTCGTTTTGATAATGTGCGCATGGCTTTTGAAGATTCGCATACTTTGCATCGTATACATCGGACTCTGTCGTCACCGGTGTTGATGACGTTTCCTGAGGTAGCGTCTGCACACCGACAGCGATATGTTTTGTTGCAGGTCTCCGCATTCTGCTAGCAGACACGATCTCCCCGCCAGTCTTCGAATAAGCATTAGCCACGCCCATGGCCGTTTGCGTGCAACTGTTGCGTTTCATGATCCTCTGAACCATATTATCGCCAGGGGTTTCACATGCTGCCAAATTGCAGTGAGACGACCATGGCTCGTTAACGGAATCTTCTCGCAAGTCAGATATGTTCCTGAGAATATGAAATTAAACAGTGTTAGTATGAATTTCGTATGAATTTCAGTCATTATAGTCGCTATTCATAGTAATATCATTCGGTTCTTATATTTAATAAGTTTTAAGTAGTCTTAAGATATCATAAATCAATCACAGAGTTGTATTAACATCTTAAGACTATAAATATCGGATTATAAATATCGGTTCAGATTATACAATCATTACAATATATTACGAATTACCTATGCATGGCATCCGCGTGTTGTTCCCGCCTAAGTATCGCTGTTTGCTTTGACTTGAGATTCGTCGATTTAGATTTTCTTGGCGAGGATTTTGGTCTTTCCAATCGCCTAGGTTGTTCTAGCAATCTAACAAATAAAATGAAATCCAAATTAAAAGATATATTGTTAAAAAAAAGAGTTTGCTAAAATGGAGAAGTTAGAAAACAGAGCAATACATACTTCTTTAAATTACAGAGATGACTAATCTCGTTTGTAATCCAAATAAGTTGATTTCTCTTCTCCATCTCGGCGTAATTAACGAGCTTGGAATCACCGGATTCGGACATGCTGCACTTGTTCAATTCAAATTGTCTTTCAGACGACGTCGTCGGTAATCTCCAGTCGGTGTTATTATCCGTGTTATTGTTGGACTCGACTGGCGTTCTTCTGTTATTTACGACGGCATCTAGTAAAATCCTGTTGTGATCTGGTGGTATACTGTTCGTCGTGGTCGACTCTCTGTGTGGCAGTTTGCAGTTCTCCTTGAAACAAAATATGTCGTTTACCTTAGTGTTCTTATGATTGCGCTGAGGCACAAAGCATTCGGAGCTCTCGCTCTTATCAGGATCCGTTGGCGTATTGCTAGTCTGCTGACAATCATCCGTTCTCAATCCTAATCGCGCTTTCCTACCGTCCATTTCCGTTCTATCAGTATGTCGATCAAACTTGTCGCTATTACTACTCTCTAATGTGACTTCCTTTATTACATCACTAGTAGTCCCCATGGACTTCTGCATAGACACGTCCTTCTTCTGCACGTTCCATTCATCCGACGACTCGGTAGTGCTATGCTTATTCGTCAGGGCCTGAAGTAGTTCAGCTCGGTACATCTTATTCCTGGCATCGTCTGGATTCCAAGGAACGTTATCCTCCAAATTATGCTCTATTTTGTCGTCTGTATATTTCGCAGTTATGAGTCGCTTAATCACGTGGTGTATCAGTCTTTTCTTGATCTGTTTATCGCATTTATTAGCATCGACGAGACTCTTCAAGATGTTAACACTTTTCTCCAAATCTCGAACCAAGCTGTCCGAATCTCCCCAGAGCTTATCATTGACACTGGAACTGCTGTTTGGCAATGTAGAGTTCGATCTACCGGTGTCCGAGGAAACGTGACTGTCCCTTTCGTTTGGGACATTTGCGTAGGTGTGTCCCGGAAAATACTCGAAACTATTGGCTCTCCCGGATACGTTTTCCGTCTCGTCAGGCTGCGGTGTCACTGAAGTGGATGCGTTCTGGGAGATGTCCGAGCTATTTCGACGTTTCTGGTTCTCCTTCGCGTCCGCGCTGACCTCGGCGTCACCTGCTGAAATGTCGCATTTTCTCGGATTTTTAACTTTATATGTACCTTTAGACCTTTTCAAAATAGAATGTATCGCCGTTTGCAGATTAGAATCCTTCTCCATAGTCGGCGGTTTCGTTTCTTCAAAATCTGATACCTGCACGCCAATGGATTCTTGAGTGCATACATCAGGACTCGTTTGTATCACCTTGTCGCAAGTGGCGGGTTTATTCACTACGGTAGCGATGGAGGATGTGGAGTTAAAGATTAGAGGAAATACAGTTTTCTTTTCTTTAGCGTGAAGATTTACTTCGCTCTGACTCCTCTTCAATGAGCATTTCGTCGATAACGGGGGTATTACATTCATCGAGATGCTTTTCTTCAATGGCGAACTCAATGGACGAATGACTTCCTTGCGTTTATTTACAATCTTTTTCTCTACCGTCGAATATTTCGCTAATGGAACCTTAAACGCCGACGTAGGAGTGTCGTGTATCTCCAATCTGGTAGGCCTTACTACAGCTTTCAATTGCGTGGAGTCACTTGGAACATATCTCTCTTGCGATTTTATGTCATCTCCCGTTATAATGCCTGGCAAATGATTCTTTACAATAGGTGTTATCTCTATCTCGCTCTCCGATCCCGAAACATTTCCGATTAACGGCGTGGAGTTCGCATCGGGAGCAATGGATTTTGAACCACTCTGTGCCATCGCATTCTTTCCGGATTGCATCCCTGATTCAGTTGTACCCTCCGGGTCTAACCGTAAGGCGGCGGAGCATCCTCGTGCTAGAGCCATACGTTCTATAGTACTCAACTTTTTATCGCCTTGCTTATTGTGAGCCTGTGAATTGAAGTAACCGACGTCTGCGCCGCTGTCCCACTCCAGTGGTTTATAGGATGCCACGCTGGAGGTCGGAGAGGACAGCTTTCTCTCGTTCACCTCTGGAAACTTCTCCTGACTCTCGTTCCTCTCCTCGTGTATCGTCTCCGATATAATACGCTTGAGATCTGGCGATGGCGTCTGGATATCTGTCAATGGTTGAACATACCTGGATGAGGCCTGATCCAAAGAATGATCCGTGTTTGAGGATTGCCCGATCAACGGGGGTCTTACCCACCTACGCCTTTCTTTTGGTACACAGGGCTTCAAATTGTACTCCTCTCCGACACAGCTCTGTCTGCTAGATGTACCCACTTGGACGTTTAATTCGTACAAACTGTAATAATTCTTAATAGCCTCCTGCGGAGTATTCGACATAGATAGCGAGAAATACTGATCCAAATTGGCGTCTCGGGAATACTTGCGATAATATTCCATTACCTGCGCGGAAAGGCTCTTCTTGCCGGAGAGGTGCGACCTGAACTTGGACGGTTCGACCGATGGTGACGGTGAGTGGCACAAGACGTCGCATTTTTCATGCACCGGTTCGTCCGGATTCTCCAAGTTTCTCAGACGACGGCTTTCGCAGCTGGATTCTGAGTCGTATTCCATACTAACTGTCTACGATACATTCTCTCGCACCCTCGGCCTCTCATCCCCGAGTCCTTCTGGTGTGTTCAATCGTCCTGGAAATTCTCGTTGTTCGGTATATGTGACGACTAATAGTCGAAAACATTTAGCCCGCCTTAATATTCATAAATCGCTGTAGCGTCTATCGTCAACAAAAGCTTATAGGTTATGACGCGGATATGCGCGTCATTTTGCGCCTCAAATATTCATGAAATAACAGTCCTCAGCGATTTCATGTGTTTTCCCGCGACGCAATATTCGCTTGGTATGTTCGCTTTGCTACGCTCTGCGTAATCTAAGTGATGACAGTTACAATACAATTATTTACGTTACAACGACTGTTCAAATTAAATTCTTGTTTACATCCACTGCTCATCTAATACATTATAATTGGATGAGTTTTTGAACGTAACTCCGGATTTCTCAAGTTCCCGCTCGATTGGTGGATGGAAGCGGATAGTTTTGCGAACGCATTACTATCGCCGTCTCTATATTTTCAGTAATATTTTCAGTAGGAAAACTAATACAGGATGCAATTGAGAGTAAATTGATTTATGTCAGTTTACATATTTAATAATTTAATCTTTTCAAGATTATGAGGTTATATCATAGATCTGTTCTTTTCAGCTGGGAGTTGATTCTGAATACCAATCATGAAACTTTTTTCCTAAGATGAAAAATAGAAAGTGAAAAATTTCTCTATTAATTTTAATGGTTAAAATTTTCATTTTTCACTTTCTATCCTAGAAATAAAATTTCATGTAATACTCTGTATCTTCAAACAAGGTGAAAATTACAAAAGTAAGCAAACTAAGTGTTTACTAAGTGTTGACCAATAAAATTATCAGTATTCTAGTAAATTCGCTCACTTTTGTAATTTTCATCTCGTTTCAAGATACATAATTGATCATCTGAATTTTTTACACCGTTCATGTTTTCTCCTTTTCTCTCCAATACAAACAGAAAAGAAAGACAGATAAATGATGCAGAAAGTTTAGTTGAAGATGCCTGAAAGGAATAGACTTCTTAGACTCCGCACAATAAAAGGAACAGGGAATAGAGAACAGAGAATAAGAATTTCAACTATTAGGAACTGTGTATTCCACTGTACATGATTTCTGATAGGTTGAAATTCTTATTCTCTGTTCCCTGTTTCTTTTATTGTGCGGAGTTCTTTAAGTAGGTTCTACATTATTTACAACTGATTGCAAGTTTGTTGCGACAGCCAATCTGAAACTTGCATTTTGAAATCAACGCTTCCTATTGGCTGTCGCAACAAATTTGCGATCAGCTTGCAACTAATATAGAACCGATTTTATAGGACCGGCAGAGTTATTTACTGCGATATTTCGAAAACACGAAGTTTTTGGAGATTGAAGGGAACATATGATGCAACGCTGGTCGTGGAATCAGTCATAAACACAATTGTTTAATTCATTCATAGATTCTCGGCATTCCTTGAGAAGATCTCAGGCGTAGACGTCATAAAATTTCGACAACCTGACAGTCTGACACGTGCGAAGCACTTATTTTATTTTTCGCTACGAAAACCGCGTGACAAGACGCGGTGCGACGTCATCAGGTATACAAGCTAGTGTTCCTAGAGAAACTCTAAGGTGAGCTCGAGATGCTGCCCATTCGACAGATTCTACGTCTTGGTATACGTGTAATAAGCACTCGACATGCAGAATATTGTCACGCTCCAGTTTTGTGCGAACCGAGCAGCATTGGAGCATTTCATCAAATGCGATTTACTCACGAGGACAGTGGCACTCGCATAGAATTGGGCAAATTAAAGGGGAAGCTGAAGCTAATGTTTACATGCAAGAAATGCCAAAGGAGAACAACCAAACTGATATCGAAGCTGGCTTATAATAAAGGAGTAGTAATAGTGAGATGCGAAGGTTGCAAGAATAATCACCTTATTGCTGATAACTTAGGATGGTTCTCAGAAATTGATAAAAAAACAAACATTGAAAGAATCATGGAACTGAAAGGGGAGACTGTGCGAAAGGTAATGAATGATGAGGATGGTTATTATGAGGCTGTTTTGAAGGAAGAGTTTAAATCACAGAACAAAGATGCTGATGAAATAAAACCAGATGAATGCTCTGATAAAATTAAAATAATTGACAAATCACAGGAAAGCTAAAATTCCTTTTTGAATGCTAGCTCTTATTTTACAGACAAAAGAATAGAATGTAAGTGTAGGCAAGTACTAAATGTTCTGTTATAAATTTATTGCAAAATGTTTATATGTAACATTAATAAATACAGCTATAAAATGTATGCAAGTTGTTTTAAAAATACAGAATACGCTGAAAAATCATATTTATATTTAGGTGAATTATTGTTGTGCTGGTTGGAACATCATTTTAAAACAACAAAATTCATCTGTAGATTTAAATTTACTGATATTTACTGTTCTTTTTTTTTACATTATTGGTATCTGAAAAACAAAAGAAGTAGAAGATTATGTAAGAATCAACCTTATGTATATAGGTTTTTAAATATACTTTTATATCTGCTAGAAATAGTCTAACAATACTTGTTTTAAAAATACTTTTTATCTTACATGTCTGTTTAATATATTTTAGAATTTATCGATTGGCGCAATTCTTATAAATAATTGTCTATTTATATGTATTAATCGATTTCAATCAATGATAGACCATTTGTTTGGCACAAAGGACATATTATTACAAATGGCTTTTCAACAAATTCTTAAAATCATTATGATATTTTATACAATTTTGTAAAAAGACTCTACAAATAGAAAAAATATATAAAAGTAGGTATTATTCTTATTTATATCATTATTGCATATGATTCGTAGTCATTAATTTAAGCATAATGAATAATAGTGATTTCTTATGGATTAATAGTCCATCTGCCTCATAGATATATAATATATTTATAATGTACATAATAAAATTTGTTTGTACTTTTAATATTTTGGATCTTTCAAATCCAATATAATGATTTTCATAGGAATTAGTATCTATATTAAGGCACATGATCGATTCGATTGCTGATGAAAGCACTAATATTCATAATGCATATATATGTATATAAAATTACGGCAGCATAATAATATTAAATATCTATAAGTTTATCCAATTGTGATGATCTGTTAATTATCTCTTTATGAAAGCATTTGTATCAAATTATGTACATATTTATATATCAATAGTTTTTCACTGTTTAAATGAATCATCAAATTTATAACATGCCTATAGAAAATAAACATATTTTTGAATTGTTTATAGAGATATAATAATAAACATGAATTTGATATATATATATA